CCCCGCACCCCCACCCAAAAAAAAATTTAAGTTTGTTTTTAAAAAATATTTTCAATTTCAAAATTTCATTTTTTCACCCTAGCCTCGACCCCCCACGCACCCACTCCCCTACCAGCCCCCCACCCCCCCTCCAAAAAAAATCTAAGTTTGTTTTTAAAAAATATTTTCAACTTCAAAATTTCAATTTTTCACCCCTACCCTCGACACCCCGCACCCACCCCCACCCCCAAAAAAAATTTAAGTTTGTTTTTAAAAAATATTTTCTATTCTAGTATAAATAAAAGATATTTCTCAAAAACATTTTTTCATTCATAAATTAAACACTAAAAATCTTTTTCGAAAAATGTTTTCTACTCACCAACCAAACATGAGAAAATAAGTCAAAAAAATCAACTTATTTTCCAGGAAAACAGTTTCCTTCATACCAAACACACCCTTAGTGGAGTGCCTGAAGTAGGATGTAATTTGGCAAACCAAGAAGGAACCTTGCTGGGCAACGCTAGGGCTACTAATAGTGAGGCTACCATCCCCAGGATTGCACCAGCTTCTACTACATTGCTTGCCACTTTCTCAAATAATAGTCAACTTGAGGTTGCTTCGGTATGGAAGAAAGTTAGCAGAAACCAAACTCCTCCAACTATAAAGCTTCCATGTAGAGTTTCATATTATGTGCTCATTTTTCAAAAGAAGGGAAAAAAGATATGGAGAAAAGCAAGTTTCTGACAAGTCTAGTAATTCTAATACTTGTGTTGCCATATGCAAATGCAACCTTGCCAGGGCCTAAAGCTAAGAAGCACTTCGTGTTGGTTCATAGGGGAAGCCATGGAGCCTGGTGCTGGTATAAGATTGTGGCATTGATGAGATCTTCAGGGCATAGTGTCACAGCTATTGACTTGGCGGCTTCAGGTATCAATCCCAAGCAGGCCCGTGAAGTCCCACATTTGTCCGATTACTTTAGTCCCCTAATGAAGTTCATGGTTTCACTTCCTGCACATGAAAAAGTGGTCCTTGTAGGCCATGAATTTGGTGGCTTTGCCATTTCTAAAACCATGGAAAGCTTTCCGGAAAAGATTTCAGTTGCTGTATTTGTCACTGCTCTAATGCCTGGTCAAACTCTCAATGCAACCACCATCTACACCGAGGTTCCAATTTTTTATATTCCTAACTTTAGCCATGAGATGATCTGTTATGTTTGCTTACACTTTCACATATTTGAAACTAAATGTACTTTGTTACAGCTCTTGGCATTCACTGGTGTATTATCTGCACTTGATAATCGTGTTACTTATGATAATGGACCTACCAATCCTCCAACAACCTTGAGTTATGGTCCCAAGTACTTGGCAACTAAGTTTTACAATAAGAGTCCAATTCAGGTAACCAAAGCATAATACAAATATATAATTGAAATAGTCAAGTTCTGTTATTCTGAAAAAGTGAATGGACCTAAAGTGACTAATGACTTGCTTTGCCAAAAATTATTAGTAGGCAAACATTTAAACTAGTTTATCCAAATTATAGCTCTATTTGAGTACTTACCGCAGCATTGACATGAAACTGACTTAATTCAGTTATTTTCCATTCTTGATGTTAGGATTTCGTGCTGGCCACTACAGTCTTAAGGCCGATATACATATATAGTGTGGAAGATATTTCTAAGGAGATAGTCGTGTCAAGCAGAAGGTATGGATCAGTTAGGCGACTATTCATTGTTGCTGCTGATGATAACCTTCTGAAGAAGGAATTTCAAAAGTGGATGATTGAAAAGAATTCAGCAGATGACGTGGAAGAGATCGAGGGCTCTGACCACATGATCATGATGTCTAAGCCCAAACAACTTTTTACTACACTTTTAAGCATATCTAACAAGTATAGCTAAGAGATCTTAATTAAGAAGAATAAGAGAAACAGGTGTAATTAAGGCTGAGAATAAAACTTCAGTCAATTCACATATCTGATGCATTGATATGACTATTTCAATTCTTCCATATAAGTCCTACTGCTGAGCTAGTTAGTTTGATATTTCAGTCAGTTTCTTTCAGTTGTTATTTCCTTTCATTGTAATTTCAGTATTTGGAATTGACATCAATAAACAACCTCTATGTCCTGTAACAACTTAATTTTAGTTCAAGATCAAACAGTTAAATTTCCAAGCTCACTCAGATAGGTGCACCCAATTATCAATGTAAGTGTGAGTTCACACATCTATATTTAATTATATTTTTACAAACTCTAACACTCCTTTATATGATCTAGGGATGGGAGAATGGGTCCATGAGAACCCGGGACCCCCCACCCCTATGAATACACTAGCCAATGCCTCAAATAATAGCCAGTGCGGTTGCCAGTTTTGCATGGAAATAAGTTATCCAAAAGTCAAACTCCTCTAAAAAAAATATCAAATGCCTCAAATAATAGCCAACGTGGAGTTGCATCTGCATGGAAGTAAGTTAGCACAAACCAAACTCCTCTAATTATATATAAAGTTTCCTTGTATGGTTTGAAACCATCTGCTCATTCTTAAAAAAAAAGAAAAGGAAAGAAGATATGGAGAAAAGCAAGTCACAACATAAAGCTAAGAAGCACTTTGTGCTTGTTCACGCGGCATGCCATGGAGCCTGGTCCTGGTACAAGATTGTGGCACTGCTGAGATCTTCAGGGCATAATGTCACAGCTCTGGACTTGGCTGCTTCAGGAATCAACCCGAAACAGACCTTGGAAGTTCCACTTTTTTCTGATTACTTGATTCCGCTAATGGAGTTCATGGCTTCTCTTCCTGCACATGAAAAAGTAGTTCTTGTAGGCCATAGCTATGGTGGACTCGCCATTTCTAAAGCCATGGAAACCTTTCCAGAAAAAATTTCAGTTGCTGTATTTGTCAGTGCTCATATGCCTGGTCCAAATATCAATGTTACCACAATCTACAGTGAGGTAGCGATGTTCCATATTTCCAATAATTAGCAAAGAGATGATCTGTTATGTTTATGCAACTAGCTTTTACATGTTTGAAACTAAAAATACTTTGTTACAGTTATTCAAGTCAATATCTCAACCTGATAATCGTATTATATACGATAATGGGCCTACAAATCCTCCAACCACCTACATCCTAGGTCCAAAGTACATGGAAACTGATGTTTACCAGCGGAGCTCAATTCAGGTAAGCAAAGCATAATTCAAATATATAGCCAATAAGTTTTGTTATTCTGGTCATGAGAATGGCCCTAAAGTGACTCCTTTCGCCAAAAAATTACTGATCAAGTATTCAGGTACTTAATGGCGACAATAACTTAGAGCTCCATGGTTTAAATCGGGTTTTTTTCCTTGCTGGTGTTAGGATTTGGCGTTGGCCTCTACACTAGTAAGGCCAATAAGCTTTTACAGTGTGGAAGATGTTTCTAAGGAGATAGTTATTACAAACAAAAGGTATGGATCAGTTAGGCGAGCGTTCATTGTTGCTGTTGAAGATAAACTTTTGAAGAAGGAATTTCAATGGTTGATGATTGAAAAGAATCCACCAGATGAAGTGAAAGAGATCCAGGGCTCTGACACAATGATCATGATGTCTAAGCCGCAACAACTTTTTACTACTCTTCTGAGCATTGCTAACAAGTATTCCTAAGATCGAGCTGTTGATTATAAGAAGAATAAGTGTGAGAACAAAACTTCAGTCAATTCACATATCTGATGCATTTATATTACTATCTCAATTCTTCCATATAAGTCCTACTGAGCTAGTTAATTTGATATTTCAATTAGTCTCTTTCAGTTGTTATTTCCTTTCATTGTATTTTCTGTATTTGGAATTGACATCAATAAACAACCTATATGTCCTGTAACTACTCAATTTGGTTCAAGAGCAAACAGTAATTAAAATCTCATCAATGGGGACGAGGACATAATTTTTATCCGACCGAGTAATTTAAGTAAATCTTTTAGAAGAGTACAATTTTATTTTAATTGGGAACAATGAAAAGAACAATAATGGTAAATGAAAGTTCGTTACAAAAAACACCAAATTTTGAAAGTTCATTCCAAATAAACACTAAATTTGCAAACAAACGATTAACTTAAGCATAAAACGGTAACCACTGTCATCCTAGGTCCCAAGTTCTTGTCTGCTAGTGTTTACCATCTGAGCTCAATTAAGGTAAGCAAATCATAATAATACTGTCATTGAAATTAACTTCTGTTATTATCAGAATGGCCCTAATGTGACTTCTTTCGTCTGGAGGATTTTAATAGTCTATTCAATTATATTACTTAATCACTAGATCAACTTGCAATTTGGAACTGATTTAAATCGGGGTTTTCCCTTAATTCTTGGTGTTAGGATTTGGCCTTGGCCACTACACTAGTAAGGCCATTTTATTTATACCCTGTGGAAGATGTTGCTAAGGAGATAGTTCTTTCGAGGGAAAGGTATGGATCAGTTAGACGAGTGTTCATTGTGGTTGCTGAAAATAAAGGTCTGAAGAAGGACTTTCAACAGTTGTTGATTGAAAAGAATCCACCTGATGGCTCTGACCACATGACCATGATGTCTAAGCCCCAACAACTTTTTACTACCCTTCTGGGCATTGCCAACAAGTATACCTAATTAGAGCTGTTGATGATAAAGAAGAATAAGGGGACATTTGTAAGGCTGAGAACAGAACTTCAGTCAATTCACATATATGTGATGCATTTTATATGGCCATCTTAGTTCTTTCATGGGAATTCTAAGACCTTGCTAGTTAATTTGATATTTCAAACATTTTCTTTTGATTGTTGTTTCCTTTCGTTGTAATTTCAGTGTTTGGAATTAGCATCAATAAATAACCTCTATTTTCTGAAATTACTGAATTTTAGTTCAATTTGAATAAATCTCATCAATGGGAAGAGGATACACTATACAGATGTTGATACTGAAGAATCAGAACAATATGAATGAAAAATATGTTGTAGATGAACAAGAGCTTATTGATCTCATTGAGGCCATTTGCTGAGAAAAAGAAGTTCGTAGTACTGGTGGACTCTGGAGCAACCCACAACATTATAAATGAAAGAGAAAAAAATTAAGTAAATATATTAGGTGATGCAAGCAGCAAGATGGTAGTCCAATGAAGGCCACCTCAGAAACCTGTTCTAGTTGTCTTCTGCTAAAGTGCTGTTCAAATTTTTTATTTCTCTGTTAAACTTAAACTTCAAGATCAGATGATCACATAGTTTAACACTACTTACCCAAGACAATTATAGCATTTAGTGGAATGGATGTGGTAGGATATACTTTGGCAAACCAAGAAGGCTAAGGCACAAGCCTGGCCTTCTCAATGATGAAAAGGTACCTTGCTGGGCCAAGCATGGCTACTGATAGAGTGGCCACAATCTCCAGGCTTGCACCAGCCCCGCCTTCATTGCTTGCTCACTTCCTAAAATAATAGCCAAAAGTGGGGTTGCTTCTGAGTATTGCAAACAATAAGCGGGACATGTTTAAGGCTAAGAATGAAACTCCAGTTAATTCACCGATCAGATTTATTTTTTATTGCCTAGAGAATTAGTTCAACTGCCATCAGTCAAAATCAAGGATAAAAACTCGCAAGTTCAAACATAATTATAAGTCACACTGCTTGTGTTTCAAGACAGGAAGCACATTTGCTTGTAAATCAGAGAGTTCATAGCAAGACTAGTGGCTAACTTATCTAAAGTGGTGACCCTTGTTTTAATAGTCATTGACGCCTTCATAATGATCTAGAGAACGCAACATGCTGTAGAGTATTGCATGATCTTCAGAAGTCAATTTTAAAGCTTGGCAATTGCATATCAAGGCAAATTTGATCTTGGAGGCAGCTTTAGGTCTTCCCAATCTTCATCATCTATCTTGGAGAAGAAACGATCAACATCATCATCTCTAATTAGTTCCAGTCTGGAGGGCTCCCACTGAAAATATGTGAAAAGATAAGCACAAGAATGAAAGAAGCTCTCGATATCTAAATTCAGGATTATCCATGATCGAATGAATATAACACACCTTAGGATTTCTATCACTGTCAATGAATATGGCTCTGTATCCCTGCAGTAAAAGTGTCAGTCTTGTAATGCAGTAAAATGGGTGGCTGAAAGATGGCATATTCTACCTCAACAAAATCCTTGCTAAATTCTCCCCTCAACACATGACAAGCCATCCTATATTCACGGACAAGGCAACTACCAACACCTTGAAGCCTCCCTTCTCTTATCTGGAACAGAAAAAGGAAACTAATGACCAATCTGCAGATACTCTAGAACTCTCCAAAAATGTTGGGGGACCGTGTAGAAAGAGATTCAAGATGTGGTTGTGAGCAAGACCTCATCATATTTTTTATTTGAAGAACTTGCATCACCAGCAATACTAGCCTAGTATCAAATTTTAAAAATCTAAAATAAATAATATTAATCCAAGCATAAAATCCAAATGATCTTTCTGAGGTAGCGGTTACAAAAAAAAAAATGAGGCCCAAGGGTCACCATTTTAGATAAGTTAGCCAAGTTAGCTCGGTCTAAAAAAGGAGTTTTTTTTGTTCATAATTTAAAGGTTTTTAATTCAATAGAATTCCTCAGGGACAGCGACAAAGCCAACAGAGGTGAATATGAAAAGGTTGAGCCAGGAAAAGAGTGGACATATATTGTGGTTTACCAATGTTGTTATTATGGTACCATCTCATAAGACTGCAAAATCTGTATGGATATATGATTATATGAATAAGAAATATGATTTTGGTATTCATCTACCAACTCTTTCCATTATGCACAAAAATTCAACAGCAGTGCACATAAATACCTACAGTTCCCAGGATTATGCTGAAAAGAAAACCTGCTATCCTTATTGGATTAATGATAGCATAAAAGAACTGCATTAAAACCTTACACCTCAGGGTTAATTATATGCATTAACCTCCCCAATATCCAACCAAGCTAAGTATGTTTCCTTTATTAATAACTAGAGATATGACATTTTGCTGTATTTCTTCATACATGACCAATTTCTGATCAACCTGAAGAAAGAATGGTACAGAAGTTTAGGTAACAAAGTAATGGTATCACAAGGTATTGATTGACTTACTGATCTCAAGGAAATTTTAAGGCTTGTAGGGGATGCTTTCTTCAGCGATTGAATGGCTGAAGAGATCCATTCATCCTTCTTGTCCAAAGCCTCACTTTCCTATTAAAAATTCATGCATAGTTCTTACAAAGTATTTTAGTAACTAATATTATCAGAACTTTACAAAGTAATTTCACCACAGGAAAAAAGAGGATACATCAAACGACCATCCATCTCCCAAACGTACAAGAGTAGATATGATTTCTTCAATTGTCCTTCGAGAGAAACAGTGATTAATAATCTTCATCCTACATGCATAAAATTGCAGAAAGTAAAACCGGTCATGAAAATCCAAAGACTACAGGTTTGTTTTAATTGAACAATATTTTTCCTAGAGAAGATGGAAACTTTGGAATGCTATCCCTCATCTTAAGCTTCTAATGGCGATACAAAGTAGAGGAAAAAAAGTCCTAAAACAACAGAAGAAAAATAACATGAGAGCAAAATAAAAATGAAGGGCATAGATGATGACTTCTGTGATATGCCATCAATATTATGTTCTTTAATAAGTTCAAACAATCACCTCTAGGCACTGGGACTGTGTTTAGAAGGTAAGCTTCCAATAAATCAGCAAGAAAAAAAACATCATAATAGAGATACTAAATGAACTCACTTGTGACAAGGACTTTCTTCTTTCAAGTTTGGTATGTGGGAGAAGCAACTTATGATAGCAGATATAGCATCTGGATCACTCTTATTGACTTTAACTAGTGCTTGTTCTAAAAGTGGCAATTTCTGTGAACAGAAGGAAGAGACAAAGGATTGAAATTAGATCAGAAACAGGAGAAATGAACAAATAAGCAAATACTATGCAATCTGATGTATATCGAGATCAATGAACCACATTTTAGATGTGCCAATACAATTCAGGAAGGCCTTCTACACCCCCAAATGCAAATTATAGCTCAAATATCTACTAGTGACTAAATGAAGATTCCAAAAATCCATCTAAGAACACCATTCCAAGCATGGCTGACAAAATCCAAATTCCAACAAGCGTGCTTAGCTTGGAACTGCAGGGAATTTTTCTCCAAGTACTTTGACTTCATATTTATTGGTACCCAATTACCATAAAAAAAAAATCAATATGCACATTGTATTCTTCATGATACATCTATAAAGCTCTATTAATCATATTATATTATAAGTGGGAAGCTTCTATGTCAAAAGTTGAATTACAAAAATGTCCTTATAATATCATAATATTTATGGACAAAAATGTAAATATACATTAAATATTAATAAAAATTATTGTATTTTCTATTAAACACTATTATTACATATTTATGAACAAAAATATAAATACACATTAATTATAATAAATATCCTAATATATTTTTAATAATAATATTAATATTCTAAAAATGGAGAACTCACAATCTATGACATGAATTAATATAGATACAATGAATATTTGTACAATTGGATTATATCCTATTAAATGACAAAAAGGAAATCAAAAAGTTTGGCAACAGTTAAAATGACCCTCAAGTGTACTTCAGTTACTCCTACCGTGCAAAGTTATAAAAATTCTCAGATAAATTATATTCATAAAATTATATTAAATGCTAAGTTATTGCTTCAATAAATACTTACTATGGAAGCTTGCAATCGTTTAAACTTTTGATTTTCTTCTGTTATAATTAGCACAAACTAATGATGAATTACATACTTGGTAAATTAATTATATATATATATATATATATATATTAAAAGTGGGAGCAAAAAAAAGTTATTATTCATAAATAATAATTAATAACCATAATAATAATGAATCAAAAGTTAGTTTACCATTTTATCCGAGTAAAAGCAAATATTCATTTGAATAACTTTTGTTTACATAAGAAAATATAACAAAATTCATTAACCCCTCAAATTCAATGAATCCAAATACTATATATGTTTTCTGAAAATGCTTACTGCCATAATTTTATTTATCTCTTTCACCTTCTCCTTCACTACATGTTTAGAGGAACAAAAACGTTTGGTGAGGGTGAGGAAGACATTGTGTAACAACAATTAATTATGGTCAGGTAACATGTGTATAAGTTCCCTAAATTATTTTACCCATTAAATTTTATTTCTTTCATCTTCCATAGAGTCTTTTTACATTTTTCATTTATATTAATATTAAATTTCTTGATTTTTACTGGTTGTACATAGGTATAGTTTTATCTTCTCCATGATATTTATTATGGTCAATCTTTTAATATTCTTTAAAATACTCTTCATAAGGTGTGTTTGTCCCATTATTCCATTTGCTTTCTCTCAGTTAAATTTCTCCTCCAAGAAGAGTCTACTTCAGGTAAATCTATTCCGATTGATTTAGCTACAAATATTTACCACTTTTTGTATTATTGCTAAGCTAGCAACATATTCACTTCTTTTAGTATAATATGTATTTCTGAAAAGTTTATGTTGTAATAAAACTCAAATTCAGAGAGAAGTAATTGATCCGTGAAATCCTTTGCATATTTGAACTTGAAGTGTGGACATGGACTATGTTTGGAGCACACAGGTTCACATTTGACTGTGTGTTTGCGTAGTTTAAAATTGTATGGAATACACGTGCAAAGCACGTGTCCAAGGACTAGTTAATTAATATGTAGGAAAAGAAACAACAGAAGATTAATTATTACAGGCATGAAACTACTGACTTGATGCTGCCGCAACCAAACTAAGTAGAACAATTAGCAGATAACAGCATAGTCAACTGGAGAGTTAACATCGAGCACATAGGTACATACCTTATCTAGAATACATTGGCTAAAGTGCAACTCAAAATTAAGAACCATGCTCCCAATTACATTAGATGAAATGTCTTAAGAGAACATAACTAAAAAGATTTTTAAGACCTGTATAGCAGACAGCAGATAAGAGTAACGTCTTAACACCATAAGCCTGACATCTTCAGATAGACAGTGGACTGGCAATTTAGTTCTTACATGTAAAGGGGCATATCAGTGTTGCCGTTGTGATAACATACTGAACAGTTTACACATAATAGTAACAGGAACCTAATTGATTTCCTATAGAAGCAATTGTAAATGGGCATAACATGCTGAAGATTGAGGTAGTATACATCTGATGATACAAAGTGGGTTGCAAGACCACAAGCAAGCATTTCAGCTCCATCCAACCTAGAACCAGTAAGACCAGCATATTCCCCTGTCAAAGAGTATCAAAATTAGCTAATGGAAAACAAGACATAATATTTGTACGTACAAATTCCTTGGGCATCATTGACAACGTAGAAATGGTCTTCCAAAATAATAGCAACATAATCAGAATAAATGGATTCACGGAAGAAAAAGGAAGGATAATATTTCTAAATAAAATCCGGTATAATTCATTAAAACACGTCAGCGATTTTATTAAAACCCCAATTTTCAAATATCCTTGTAGAGAAGATTCTATACATGTCTTCAAAGGATATTTTACATTTGTCATGATTTAAAGAAATTCAGGGATCACCATGAGAAGTTGAAAACTAAAGTTGATTTCTATAATAACTAAAACTTCAAAATTCAGCATAACTGTGAAAACTAAGGCTAAGTATCTGTAGGGAGAAAGTTTCATAGACACTTCTATGTGAAAAGGATTGACCTTAGTTTGTGTAATGAGGAAACAAGATCAATGAATGGAAAATGGTGAAAAGTAGATAATAATGTCCAGAAAACTCAGAATAGAAGACCTATCTTTTGAACATAATTGCTGCTGCTTTTAAATGGGGCATGTGCAGCAAGTTTTTGAACATCTTTTACAGGAGCAAAAGACCTAGCTTCTGCTTTTAGCTCTTTATATTAATTTTCATTGTAAAGATATCGTGGATGAAGCAGCACAATAAATGCAAAGTATCTGAGCTAACATTTCTCTTAAGATATCCTCACCTAGTGGAGCTCGAGGAACCAGGTAGTCACTTAAATTTCAAACAATGAAAAGTAGCAGAGAACTCCACAATGAAACTTGAGTGTATTACAGCAGTAGCAGTAATTTTCTTTATAACTATGAACAATATAATGTGGCTAGTGAAATTACCAAAGAATCCTGGAAGTCTTGATAAAAAGTAAGAGGCGCCTACATCAGGAAAGTGTCCCAAATCTGCTTCAGGCATAGCAAATACCTACAGAGAAACATACATAAATATTACATTGGACATGAAGTTTCTGGCATCCGATTACACATAGCAACCAGTATGAATAAAGTACATATTACTGTCTAAGAAAAATAAACCCTCAAGGCAAATCCAAGGTACAAACTAAAGCTCATGAAGATTTACAGTTTGTACGGTTTTCCTCTAACTTTGCTCTAGTTATGCTAGAGCCTCTTTATATGAAGAAAGTTAAAAATAAATAAATTATGAAGGCTCTGAGACATAGTACAAAAAGTTCTGCTGGATATATCCTTCAATTCCAAACTGTAAGAACTCCAAGAGCTATTTTGCTTCAGCTATTCCACATGAACATTCATTTATTTATTGGCTTAATCCCTAAAAGAGAAGATATAAATAGACAAATTTGAAGCAAACCACAAAGAATGTGGCAAAGATCAAATACAAAAGGGTAAACAAGACAACGAGATTAATCTACTACTCAAGTAGAGGCAATACCGACTTTTCTGTTGCAACTCGAAATCTACCATGTATAGAAGCACCAGCTCCGCCTCCCATGACAATTCCATTAAGGATGGAAATCTTCAATGGGTAGTCCAAACAAGATTAAGGAAAATCTCAACGAAAGTTATATCACAGAACTAAAATTAGACATCAATTTAATTTAACCTGGGTTTTGCTATACGTTGCCATCACATAGTTCAAGGTGTACTGCTTTTGGAGAAAATTAGCACAGATTTTCCAGTTACCTGATAAGCATGAGTATATATAAATATGTCCGAGAAGTCATAGGGGTTAGTGACAGAAGGTTCAAAACTCTGTGGATAATGGGCCTACTTAGTACTTACTAGCCTTCCCACGCTTGAATACCACCAGGCTTTTGTTTGCAGCAAAGGTTTGAATCTGTGACATGTGCCTAACCCACACGACATGTGTAGTGCGCTTAGCACTAGACTAAAGTCTTGGGGGCCATTTGTAGTGATATTTTAAAGTTTTCTTTGATTTTGGGATACTTGGAAAGAAAGGGCCTACTACTTTTTGCCTCCCCTTTGGACTTGAACCCGAGACCTCATTATTCTCCTCTCACTTCATTGACCACTAGATCACACCCTTGAGTGGACATTAGCTATTACTATATATTGATTGCTAAAAAACTAATCTCTCAGGAAACTGAGAAACAAGATGGGAGTTGCCAGGTTAAGAGCAAAACTAGTACAAAGATATGGACTTGGACAAATTTTGAGCTTATGAGATTGAAAGAAATTACTAGAGGAGTTAAACTTCAGATCACATGGATCCAATTTTAAATGCCATCTATAGACTGTGTTTGACAAGATACTACCAATTTAGCAAATACTTACCAGGATTCTGAAAACAAAGTGAAACATCACCACCAGCACAAAAAGCCCTTCCTTGTCCCTGGAAAATATTGATACAAGAAAAGTAGTAACAAGAAGAGCACTATATACAGGGGAATTAATAAAACTTTGAAGCACACAACCAGAGCTTGTGACTAAAACCATAAAACATAAAACTGCATACACTACTAAAAAATCACTATTTTCCCATTGAAGTTCCCCACATAAAAATGCTCAATGGTTATTACCACAAGATATTTGATTGAATCAGTGGAAAAGAAAAAATAGTAGTTTTTTCATATGGAAAAATTAGGAAGCTTTCCAATATTTCAGTGAGAATCTATTTCCACCATGCATTTTCCCAATGAGCTGGTTCGATGGGAAAATCATGTTCTATAACAAAAAAAATTCCATTGATTCGCAATGGGAAAAACCTCTGGTTATAGTAGTGAAAAAATAAGATACGTAGTCTTACAGGCAATAATAACTATTTAATACAATTTCTAACAGACTCTTGATTTTATTTCAACAAAATCATTTTGGTGAACAGTTTTTAGATAATGTGGACTGTTCCAATTGTTAAGAAACACAAACCTAATACATGCCGAGGATAACTAGATTGGTCAGAATCAGTGAGATACCAACTCAAAATCAATGCAACTCTGCCTGCATGTAGTCTCTAAATATTTTTGTGGGCAAAATCCATCATCAGGTTACCAAGTTTCCCTCATGTTAAGCTATGACAGGAAACTTAATTATTACAGATCCTCTTACTACTGAAAATACCTTTAATATTATCATCTTCACATTAGGATCTTCTTCACTGGCATAGAAAAGTTCTGTAAGCCGAGATATCTGGACAAACAAATAAGTTTGAGGGAACAATTATGACTTATATCATGTCACCATATGTCAAATCAATTTCATTAGGAAACCAGAAATTTACTCAAATATCCTGTGACATGAGGATTGTATGAATAAAAAGCTCACATGTTCACCAAGTAAATATAATAAGAATAACCTATTCCATATAATTGCATGAGAATACAAAACATGAATCCAATATGAAATTAGGGTGTTATAGCTATCATTATCACGAGCAAGCAACAGATTCATGCTTGCTTTTCAAGTTCCACAGTGATTCAGTGTCATTAGGTACTTTTTTTTCTTTTTAATAATAAGACTATGGTTTATACGCAAACCAAAAGGCAAAATTCCATTAGACCAACTTAATGAAGATAATATAACAGAGTTGCATGTCAGTACATTCTTTAACTAGTACAGTGAGCAAAAAACATTTAAAATTTAGCAAGTTCCACTCTTCCGTCAAACTCTGTTGAAAAATTGACCTATTTTGAATCCTCTAATCTACTCCTCTTCTTGATGAATTTCCCATGTAATTTGGATTTTGAATTTTGAGAAGAAAAATGAGTTTGTTTAATAGTAGAAAGGAATACCTCTTGAGATAATATTGTAGGGTTTGTGATTTTGACAGCAATGTTACCCTAGTCAAATTCCTCTCAAAGATAGCTTGATATATACTCCCTATATCGGATAGATTCCCCCTCCAATTGCAAAGCAGCCACCCCAATTTTTCTTCCACAGGAACACTCTCCATAGAAAACAACTGTCAAGAATTCCATCATGGAGTGAAATTCGAGTGGTCGGAATGGTAACTGTTAGGGCTTCTTCTCCTCTCTCTTAGAAAATGAGAAACTGGAAAATTATTATTATTAGTAATGTAAGCAACCAACTCAAATCTCAATTTTGTATTCTTGTCCCCTACCATTTTTTCAACTGTCAAAATCTCCTAGATTCCTGAGAATTCACAATTTCACTTTCAAAGTTCCATTGGAGAGAGTCAACTGAACGGAAGGAAGGAGAGAGAAAATCAACGACGATAGGGAAAACGTCATTCATGGTAATCGACGGGTCGTGATGCCCTCCGGATGGCTGACCCGAACCCATCTGAGCATTCGGATTCGGATTCTACTGTTTCCCCTATGGTCAAAAGTATGGATCTCACGCTACCTCTGTTGTATGAGTTCTTTTTATTTTTATATAAATAATTATGATTTTTTTTGTAAAATATAAATTTATCTATTTATCTATCTATATATATCTAATCTAAAATTGAATATAAAAAAAGGTGATGTGACACATTTCTATTACTATAACAAAAAAATAATTTAACGGCAATAAATATTAACAAAAAATGGTAAAGTCATTTATCGGCATTAATTAATTGTCGTTAGATCCAATATCGTTATAGGTTTTAAAAACATTTAAATTATATCTAACTATATTTAGCGATAATTAAACTATTATTGCTAATTAATTACCGCTAAAGATCATTTTTGATGTAATATATTCAACATCCTTATTTATCTTCTTCTTTTTTGTCAATTTTTTTATTTTTTCATCCATTCATTCTTTTAATTTAATTATTTAAATAAATTTCAAATGTCTCTCATCTCACGCAGTTCGATACATTAAATCAAATCTATTTGCACTAAAGTCTAAAACATTTTTTTTTTATCAATAGTAATTATTCTACTTATTTCTAACATGTTTTCACCTCTTCATTCATGATTAGTTATCAATTTCTGTAGAAACATGATTAGGCTGTCAAACGGTAAAACATGAAGAGGTTATAGTACATTTATCGTAAAGTATTTCCATTTAATCTATATGATCCTATTTCGACAAGAATGTAACCAAAAAAAACAAACTATAAAGTTGTTATGATATTTTTGTTGTATAATCCTCGATTTTATTTTTATTTTTATAGTTTTTCAGGAAAAAAATATATGATCTTTAATTATCGAATGCGATTTTTTGAAAACATCTAACATGATACAAATTTGGATTGATTGAGGTTGTGAATTGAATATTAGATGATAATATGAAAAAATGAATTTCCAATGGCTATAAAAGGGTAAAATAAAAAAGTTAACAAAATATTTAAATATCATTTTCGTTATAGATTCTTTTTAAAAGAGAACAGGTAAAATATTTTAAGAACAGCTCAATTTCGAAAGGTATACAGTACTTGTTTTGTCATCTTACTTTGCAGTTTGCTCATAAGAAGCTGAGAGCCACATAACATTGCATGCTTATATGCTATTTTTATGTAATTCAACAAGTAATATTTTGAATGTATATGTTGTGAATCAAGTCGATTTTGTACGGGCTTATGTGTTAGAAGTGGTGAATAGGGCTGATCTAGATGGGATTATTGGACCAAGCAAAATACTAGAGAGTTTTATTTGGGATCCAAACCCAATTATCAATCAGTTAAATAGGAATAGGGGTTAGACAGAAGAGTTATGCGTATAGTGAAGAAACTATTTTTTCCTCTCATCTTATTTCTAGAGTCTTAACTTCTCATCTCCATTTTTATCTCTATCTTTAGTTACTTGTTATTTCAGTACTTCTCTTTGCAGTTCAAGTGTTGTTATTAGAATTTAGCTATCAACGATTATGTAAAGAGTTTGTGTTGAGAATTCAGATTTGTTTCAGTATACTTGTTTTGTAATCTTACTTTGCTAGTAAGAATCATCTTACAATAGATCAACGTAGTAACCCATGATAAAATCATTAAGAAATATTTTGTGCGAAACACGAATAAATTAAGACACAAAGAAATGATCATTTGATAAGAATTAATCATTTGGAACAAGGAAACTAGCACTGCAGTAACCAAAATATAGTAAGTTCATATTTGTCATACCATTTGCAAAGAAAGTGCATTCAACTTCTTTGGCCTATTTAATATGAATGTTCTAACACTTCCAGTCTCCTCCACCAAAACCTGAAAATCAAAATAACAGTTAAAAAGGGGGGTTTAAATGCATTTGGCCGTTGGAACTAAAATAATTTCATTCGCTAGTTAATATACACTAATTATAGATAAAATATGTATATGATCATTAATATAATTATATTTGTCGACTATTATTTTAATAATTTGGTGCGTAACTATATAGTGTGTGATTAATAATTAACAAAGTGGAAGACTAAAAGTTGAGTGATGAGAGTAGAATAGGATATATTGCACCTCATCGGTTCCGCCATTGTTAGAAGAGGTTTGAGCCATAATGCTTTTCAGTTTCTTTGAGAATTTGAGACTGATTAAATGGAGGAAAGTTAGTGAGAAGGCCATTCAAGTGTTGAATTTAAAGAAAAGAAAAGAAAAAATATACGTGGTCCTAATTTGATGACCCATTTATTTGTCCTAATGTAATTATAAGTATAGTATTTGGTTGCATAAGAGTAATTATATAATTAAATTTAATTTTAAAATAAAAACAATAATTATAAAAAAAAAAATATAGAAGTTTATAGTTGACAAATAAGTGCATCTTGCCTCTAGAGTCTTGTGTGATAAGAAGGTACCACCTAAACTTAAAAGTAAGTTTTACAGAATGGTGGTTAAACCGTTCTTGTTATATGGGGTAGAGAACTAGCTAGTTAAGGATTTTACATATTTTTGTTACTTAATGAACAAAGATCTACAAAGTCAGATCTTAATCAGAAAAGAAGGAATCTCCCGAGTCATGATGAATCTTAGTAGCACATTAAGGTCTGGGGTTCACTTGGGCTTGTATAAGTTAATTTGTAGGTTTGAAAGTTTTCGCCATTACAATATCGACCAAATAGATAAGTAATTTTGAACTCGAAATCATTATTTGAGTGATTTGTCTTTTTGTTCCCTTTGTGACTTGAACTCACAAAGTTAGGGTTAGAGGTATTAGAAGGCATTTATCACTCGAAGAACTCCTCTCGTCTGAATTAATTCATTTTAATTGTATGCTCTAAATAAATTACGATGAATTCTATCACACACACGTCAACTGGCGGTGGAGCCTTCACTAATCCAACTTGATTTTCTAATCACGTGATTTACACCCAAAGGGGAGATACATGTTCAATAATTGGTATTCCCTCTAGTAACTAATGTTCAATAATTGTTTCAGATTAGGACAAATCAATTACAAAGACTTTTAAAAAGAAAAACACCTCTTCGTCCTTTTTTTCCCCTCAAGTTTCCCGTTTTATGATATTTCTTGTCTTTATGAAATAAAGCAAACTTATTTTGACAATTTCTGGATATATTATATAGTCGCGTGTTTGTGTTTTTTCGTCTCTTGTTATATATATTTAGAGTGAATAAATATTTGAGTTTTTAACTTGTTTTAAAAAGATTTCAGTCATACAAATAAGGGAAAAAGGATAAATATACCCTCGAACTATCGTAAATGGTATGCAAATACTCTCCGTCAAACTTTTGGACATTGGTGCCCCTGCCGTTCAAAACCTAGAACATATATACCCTCTATACACGTGTCATAATCTTATCCACCGATCCGACATTTATCGACGGATAAGATTACACCACGTGTCTCTATTTATATGCTCTAGTTTTTTTACGGCAGGGGCACCAATGTCCCAAAAGTATGACGGATGTATATATTCATAATATCTACTAATTTGGTCCTTAAGAATTCTATCTACATGAAAAAATTCTAATCAGAATCACATATATTGTGCACTAAATCCTACTAATTAAAAACACCAATTCCAAAAGAAGTAGTAGTAAATCAAATGAGCTAGCTGTGGTGAAGTATTGAACTTGAACACAGAGAGTTCAAAGCTTGGATCTACCGACAAATACAATAGCCTGACGTCTACATAGCACGAATCAAACTCCTTGAATTATAAAGCTGCCTAGTAATGAATGGTTCCTTCTTCAACAGAAAAATAAACGAAGATATGGAGAAAAGCAAGTCGCACTTTGTGCGTTCTAGTTCATACTGCATTCCACGGAGCCTGGTGTTGGTACAAGATTGATGACATCTTCAGGGCATAATGCATGTAACAGCTCTTCACTCAGGGATCAACCCCAAACAGGCCCTTGAAATCCCAAATTTTTCTGATTACTTAACTGAGTTCATGGCTTCACATAAAAAAATAATTCTTGTAGGTCATGCCTTTGGTTTCTAAAGCCATGGAGACCTTCCCAGAAAAGATTTCAGTTGCTGTATTTCTCGGTGGTCCAAATATCGATGCAACCACCGTCTATACTGAGGTACCAATTTTCCATATTCATAACCACCGTTCGTTTGTTTAAACTTTAATTTGAAACTAAATATATATATACTTCATTATAAGCGGCCAGTGCAGTGATAGGTAAACTTGATAATTGTGTTACATACGACAATGGACCCAAGTACTTGGCAACTAATATTTACCATCTCAGCCCAATTGAGGTAAGAAAATCATAATATATAATTGCAACAATTGAAATAGCAAATAAATGCTGATCACTGACTGAACTGATCATTTAAAGTTGTTTTTTTTCTTCTTCTTGGTGTTAGGATTTGGCGCTGGCCACTACTCTAGTAAGGCCAGTTTATTTATATCCTGCGGAAGAAATTTTTAAGGAGATAGTTCTTTCAAGCAAAAGGTATGGATCCGTTAGGCGAGTGTTCATTGTTGCTGCTGAAAATAATGCCCTAACGAAGGAATTTATAAAGTTGATGATTGAAAAGAATCCACCTGATGAAGTGAAAGAGATCCAGGGCTCTGACCACGTGACCATGATGTCTAAGCCCCGACAACTTTTTACTACTTTTCTGAGCATCGCTAACAAGTATAGCTAAAGAGCTGTTAATTAAAAAGAACAAAGGGGGCAGGCTTAAGGCTAGAATAAAACTTCAGTCAATTCACATATTTGATTGTTATTTCCTACGTAATTTGATAGTTCGATCATTTTCTATCGGTTGTTATTTCCTTCATTGTAATTTTTGTGTTTGGAATTGACACTAATAAACGACTTCTATTTCCCTAATTATTGATTTTTTGTTCAAGACCAAACAATTATATCTCATCAATGTGGAGGAGGAATAGAAGTTGATACCAAAGAAGAAGTGTTGAAAATCTTACAGAAAATACTTGGCCATACCAGAACTCTTTATAGCTTAAGGATATTTCATCCCACAGAATGGTTAAGGTCTGATTATATATAACCGACCAGACA